AAAGCTGTAGAATTGCATCGTCGGGTCTGTTTGGATCTGGGTTTCTATTAAAAGCTTTACGAACTGCCGTTAAACCAGTAGTGTTATCGATATTGGTATACATAGAAGAAACGTCGATAGAAATTAAAATAGCATTAGAGGGAACTCGAAGATTTTTTATTTTATTGACAAAATCGGTGTCTTTAAGGTAGGCGCGATGTTGGCATGCTAGAGGTAGTAAGAAATGATCAATGTATTCTGACACTGCATATGACTCACTACCACAGTCAGATATAATCGGGCGGCCTTTAGGGATTTTATTCGAGATAAACCACTCCTTGGTTGGATTCTTATGGATTTTAGGCAAAGTGTACAAATGTCTCTCGCGACAATCAGGTTTGGCAGACAGATAGTCATATTGTTTCTGTTTGAGATAACTAGTTTTGACTAAATCGGCAAGAATATTATTAATCATGTTAGCAGTTTCTTTGAAAATTGGTTTCGGTAAAATGGCATAATGTTTAGGATTATTCAGTTGATTCTCTGCTTCTGAAACGTAATCCTCCCTATTCAGAATGACACAACATGAACCTTTGTCACTCTTTTTAATAACAATGCTATCGTCTTTCTTAAGTAAGTTTAACGCTTCACGTTCCACTCGTGTGAGATTAGGCTTTTCGTGTGTTATGAAAAGGTTCACTGTTTGGCTATTCATACTCGCAAATGCTTTCAATATTTCAGGATGGATGGCGGCCTGAGGGGGTGTCCACTTGGATTTAGGAATAAACATTGTTCTAGCACCACGTGGGGGGTGGTTTCGAAAAAAATATGTGCAGCTAAGATTTCGTTGAAATCGTTCAATGGATGGTCGGAGATAATTCAAGTTAGCTATCTTTGGTGTGGGAATAAACTTAAGTCCACGGTCTAAGATTGAATGCTGAAGGGGTGTGAGAATTTTGTGGCTCAAGTTAACTACAGTTTGGCCTAGCGGTGGCCTCTCAGTATTTTTATCCCCAGTAATTAGTTTAAAGACTTACTCGATGCTTGAAGCTGGTGTATCCAAAACAAATAAATGCTGTTTGCTGTTTCTGGAGACCAATGAAGATTATCAACTGTTTCGAATTCTTCTTCGTAGGGTGGTAAGATTGTTGCGCTGTTGATACTGGACTCCATCATCATGTTGTTGAGGGTGCTGAGGTTCTGTTGTGCTTTCTTCGAGATTTTATTTGAAATGGGTATACATGTGAAGAGGATCTTGGAGTTTGGGAAGGTTTTGTTGGCTGTTGCGATTAATTTC